TATTGCTCAATTTCTCCTGATCCAGTCATCAAGAAGCAACAATATTCCACAGCAATAAGCACTCCGAGTACCTGTGTCATTAGGAAAGTGTCTGATCCCAGGGGCAAGATGACCCTGGAACATCTAAGTGCAGTTATTGGGAAGGAGGGGGCCATAAACTTAGGGTGGTGATGCGTGTGCATGGTGAGTATCTCGTGCTTACCACTGAGTGCCAGCAGCGGAGATGATGTCACAGGGCTCCCTAGTGTCTAGTGGACTAACGGAAGTTTGCAGAGTAGGATAAGCTTTTCCCCTACATTGCTTATTACACAAAGAAGGGGAGAAATAAATCAGCATTATAGTGGAGTCATTGGGCAAAATCTTGACTTGATAAATCAATATTAGCAGATAGAGCCCAACAAGTATCTCAGTTGATAAAGGTGCCTGCCACCATGGTGAGATGATTCATTCCCTGGTTATGAATCATAACCAAGTTATGAAAGGAGAGAACTAACTCCTGAAAGTTGTCCTCTGATCTTCATGTGTATGCTAGGCGGGAGGTGAGGAGGTGGTATGTGCACGTACACGTGCACATGTAGCAAAATGTAAAATTTTTAATTATCAGTTTTGAGAAACAGGTAAATATTATGTGATATTCTGAGGACTGAAAATGGTGTATCCTATTGTAGTCAAGATAGAGGAACAAATCAAAAACTTCACTTTTTTTTTAAAGTGAAGAATGTGTTTTGTTTTATTACAGCTAGGGATTGAACCCAGGATCTTATTCACTGAAGTAAATCCTTCTGCCACTGAGCTATATCCTCATTCAACAAGGAGTGTGCTACAAGATGAGGTGGTGGTGGTGGCAGCGATGGTGGTAATGATAAGAAACTCAGGAGGGCTAACAGTTTTAAAAGGTATCAGAGTCTTAACAGTAAAAATACTCCACGTTACAGGAGAGAAACACAACAACTAAAATCACAACTTCTGTAGTAGCTGGGACAGTCATTGAAAACTACTGATGAGTTAACAGAACTGAAATACAGGCTGCAGGTGAAATTATTGTCTTGGTCAAAGTCATTATTGTTGCTTACTCTCTAGTGACTTCAAAAATGAAAAAACAAATATGTATACATGTAGCTTGCATAGCTTCAGGTACACATGGGAATGAGATAATAAAACCCACAACTTTTACAAATATAGATAAAGACACTCTGGTATTACAAAAGTGTTTTATTTTGCAATGTGCAGAAATTTAGACTTTCAAAAGAAAAAGGGTAGGGGTGCGGGGCAGGGAGAGTTTGGTTTTCTTCCTGAGTTTGATGGCTCATACCTGCTACCCTAGGCAGGGGGAGTGTCAGCCTAGGCTGCATAGTGAGTGAGTTAGATGGTACTTATGTCAAAACCAGACTGAGAAATTTCTCCTCAGCCCTAGAAAGTGTACTTTTCTGCAGGGATTATACTTGGTTCCTGCTTCACATAGAACTGTTTGGATGTGTGCAGACCTGCTTGTGCCCAGCTAATTTGAGTGTTTTCTTAGATAATAGATGCAGAGATTTTTCCTTGTCTGTGCTCTCACCAGTAATCAGAGAATTAAATGGGACATTTTAGAACCCAGTGGATGAGCTTTAAGTTTCTGAAGTGTGCTGTAAGAAGTGGAATGGAGACAACAGTATGTTTTCCTCTGTACCAGATCTCCAGACATGAGAGGATCTAGTGACTGCTGCTGTCAGTTTATATTCCCTGTTAAAATAAGTTGATCAGATTTTATGTGGGATTGTGCTCTTTGCACTTTGATTCATCTTGTAGCGTGTTCTTGTATGTAACATATAATACTAAGGGTTGGTTTTTCTGTGTTTTAGTTTTTGTGGTTTTGAAGATCAAACCCAGGTCTTTATCCACGTCAGGCAAGTGTTGGACTACTGAATTATACCTACAGCATGGTGGTTTTGTTGTTGTTTTTTAAGATTTGCTTATTTTTATTTTATGTGAATGAGTATTTTTTCTGCATGTATGTATATATGTGCATAACATGCATGGCTAGTTCCCACAGAGGGGGTTCTGAATCTCCTAGAATTAGTTATGGATAGTTATAAGGCTCTCGTAGGTAGAAACCAAACCCTCAGGTCTTTGTAAGAGCTGCAAGTCCTCTTATATGCTAAACTATCTCCAGCCATGTTTTGTTTCAGTTGTGCGTGTTTCTGGGCTTTTTAATATAGTCGAGATACACAGTGTGATGGTTATCTAGCAGCAGTTGATTAACTGGGAGCTCACTATACAGCCCAGGCTTGCCTCAAATTTGGAGCAAACTGACTCAGCCTCCTGATTACTGGGATCATAGGTATGGGCCACCAAGCTTGTGTGGTTGATGGAATTCCATTAAAGATAGGACGTACCTGTAATCCCAACCAACAATCTGGAGGTAAAGGAGGGGGCCACAGGTTCCAAGCCAGCTGAGCTGGACAGTAGGACCTGTGTCAGGCTCCTGCACACACAGTGTTTCCATGTGTTGTCACTGTCAGCAGGAAAGTAGTCAGAGGCCTCAGGGGAATGGGACTGTGCTCTCTGGTGACATGATGGGAATCTTCCTGTCCAGTTCCATTGCAGTTTCCTGACATTTAAAGATGATTTTTGTGTGTACCCGTGTGCTGAGTGTGTGTGATGTAAAGATGATACTGGGCAAGCTGCGTTCGTTCACATGAATGATTAAGCTTTGTGGTGCTGATTGCTCTTGTGGTTTGCCCTAAAGAACCACATTTCCCAGGGAGCCTCTCGGTGAGGGCTGTATAGAGAAGAGCCTACGTGTGCATTAAAAGCCTAAGAAGGCAGAACTCAGTAGTGGCCCCTGATTATTTATTTGGTTTTCGGGATGATCTAGGTCAACCTTCTTTAATAGAACTTTCTAGAGTGATGGATATGTTTTCTAATTTGTACTTTCTGGAACAGCCCCTTATCACCAGATTCATGTGGGTATTTAACACTTGGAATGCAGCTAATGTGTCAGGGGCCGAATTTTAGATTTTACTTGATTAGTATAAATTTAGTCAGAATGATTAGGGGATAAACATCATTTGGTTAGAAGCAGAAAGAATCAAACGCTTTCTACCTCTGTCCCTCCATACAGAAGACTCCAGAAGCCTGTTTATGGAGCAGTGACAGACAGCTGGAAAACAAGTGGACCAATTGCAGCAAAGTCTGAAATACACAAGTGCTGGCACCCAGAGACTTCTGTAAATCCAGACATCCACTTGATCACTCCCACCACGTTCTCAATTAAAACAAGTCAATGAAAAAGACAGTAAAATAATACATGTAATTCTGTAGATACTTAATGGAGTCTTCTGGGTACCCAGTGAGTGTTCCCTTAGTTCACAAGTGGCTGTTTGTTGAAGTGGTGGTTTTCCTCCCATTTAAGTAGATTTTCATAACACTAACATACTTCTCAACTGAGTCTACAGACAGGTGGCACAGGAGAAGGGATGTCATTCAGAACATGTGAGGTACAAAGATGAGGTGTGTAGGCATCTCTTCAAGATCAGTCTCATCTTCCTACAAGCATGCTTAACAACTAACGTGTAAAATAGTACAAAATATGGTGCAGAGAGAGGGAATGGTTGGGGCAGGATTTTTTTAAATGCTATCTATAAGATTTTAGGATTGAGCCTAATGGTGGTGGCTCACCACCCTTTAGTCCCAGCATGCAGGAGGCAGAGGCAGGTATATCTCTGAGTTCAAAGTCAGCCAGGGCTACATCAGAGAAACTCTGTCTCTGGGAGAAGAAACAAAAGCTTTTAGTATTGCTTGAAATATTTCCAGTTTAGGCAGAATATTATATAACTTCACAGCCCATTTTTCTGTTGAGGGTTTAGTTTCTGAAACAGAAGAGATAGGAGCCCCTTCCTGGGTGAATAATAGGCAATGGCCTTTGAAGGAGTGATGTCGAGCTGGATTTTTAAAAGATCAAGTTGGCATTTACCTGCTTAGTAGCTAAAAAATGGCTAATACGTAGGTCTGAAGTCATAAAATGAAGGCATGCTATATGATGTGAAACTTGATATAGTCATCAAATACTGACATTAGGGAGACAGTTTAGTAAAAAATAAAAAAGGCCTCACCATTCTAGGCATTAGATTGCAGAGTTAGAAATTAATAACCCAAAGGGAAAAAGATGAGTTGATACTAGGATATTTAGTTTTCCTTAATATCACCCTCCCTCAGTTTTTGAAGACGCTGTAGAGTGGCGACTCTTGACAGCGTATACAAGAGCGAATCACTCATCTTTGGCACCGTGATGGTGATTCTCTAAACCTGTACCATGGGAGCTGTTACACTGCTGCTAGTGACTTCCTTAGTCTTTTGGAATAATAGCTAAATGATTTATAAAATAGGACTTAAATAATATAGAAAAATTTAGATTTTACTTGACTAGTATAAATTTAGTCAGAATGATTAGGGGATAAACATCATTTGGAGGCTGGAGAGATGGCTCAGCGATTAAGAGCATACATAGCCTGCTCTTCCAAAGGTCCTGAGTTCAATTCCCAGCAACCACATGGTAACTCACAACTATCTGCAATGAGGTCTGGTGCCCTCTTCTGGTCTGCAGGCATACATGTAGACAGAATATTGTATACATAGTAAGTAAATAAATAAATATTTTTTTAAAAAACATCATTTGGTTAGAAGCAGAAAGAATCAAACACTTTCTACCTCTGTCCCTCCATATAAAGGTCTCCAGAAGCCTGTTTATGGAGCAGTGACAGGCAATTGGAAAACAAGAAAAATCCTATGTAAAGTGTGGATGGCAAGTCCTGTGTGGTTTTTTTTTTTTAATATAGTTTTTTACCTACATTCAATTTGTCTTGGCTTCCAGTGTAGAAGACATAGCAGTAAGCCTAGCTAGCATGTGTGAGACTCTGAAGACAGACTCCAGAAGCCCAGGCCTTGCTTTTTGCTGCTATCTGTGTGGCGTCTGCTGGTGAGGTCACTCGGTAAATGATTGCTTATGGTTCCTCTGTCAGCTTTTAGTTTGGACGCTGAGCAGCCTGACTACGACCTGGACTCTGAGGATGAAGTGTTCGTAAATAAACTCAAGAAGAAAATGGACATCTGCCCATTGCAGTTTGAGGAGATGATTGACCGCCTAGAAAAGGGCAGTGGTCAGCAGGTACAACTTCATTTCTGTGTGTTTGTGTGTTAATATAAATGCCTATATTATGTGAAACTATGCAGTATGGAGGACAGCTGGGCCAGCAGACTCTGAAACATAAATTTATATCTGCCTAGTGTTAATCTGTATAATTTTGAGCACTATATTTTCAGTTTTTTGTGCCTCGGTTACCCCAGCTGTATGTAGAGAAAAAAATAATAAACTGGAGGGAACGTGGTGACATATACTTTTAATTCCAGCACTTGGAAGGCAGAGGCAGGCAGGTGGATCTCAGTGAGTTAAAAGCCAGCCTGCTCTACATTTTAAATTCCAGGTCAGCCAAGGCTGACCCTATCTCCAAAGCAAAAATGTCTTCAACTGCCATTTGTGTTTTTGGTGATCAAGTAGAACGTGACTCATATCAAATCCTAAAGTCAGGAAACACAGCAAGCTGTGTGACCTGTGAAGTTTGACAAGAGCTCGTTGTAAAGATTGAACACACAAGGGGTCAGCTAGTACAATACCTGCCTAGCGTGCACATTGGGCTTGCTCCCCAGAATCATGTAAATCAAGTGTGGTGGTGGTGGTGTGCACCTATCTTGATTCCAGCACTTGAGAGATGGCAGGAGGATCAGAATTGTATTTAAGGTCATCCTCAACAAATTCAAGGCTAACCTGGGATACTTGAGACCCTGTTTCAGAAAACATACTATCATTACTACTATTGGCTTTATTGTTATTTAAATGAAGCAGTAATGAGTAGTTTTGAGTTCTTGCATATATGTTTTATGAAAGTGACATAATGGTTTTACATTTAGCCAGTCAGTCTGCAGGAAGCCAAACTACTGCTAAAAGAAGATGATGAGTTAATTAGAGAAGTCTATGAATACTGGATTAAAAAGAGGAAGAACTGTCGAGGGCCATCACTTATCCCATCGGTAAAACAGGAAAAGCGAGATGGTTCTAGCACAAATGATCCCTATGTGGCTTTTAGAAGACGAACTGAAAAAATGCAAACTCGAAAAGTAAGTGAATTTTTAAATTTTTAAGAAAAACTGTAGTTATTGATATCTTTTATGGCTTAATCTGTGCTTCCATATAGCAGTCCAAAAATTACACTAGAAGGGTTTCCCAGTGGTTCAGAGTACTTATTTTTCTATCAGAGGGGACAGTGTTGTGATTCCTGTGCCCTTATCAGGCAGCTCATGCTCACCTGTGACTCCTGCCCCGCGGGATCCAGTGATCCACTTCTGACCTATGGGCACTAACACACACAAGCACAAAGTTCCGTTAATCCCACTGGAAAATATTAAATAAGTTGACCTTAAATTTTTATGGGGGCCTTAATAATGCATATTAATACTGGCTCACTAAAAAAAATTATGTATAGAATTGATAACTCTGTGTTCCCTTCCTGTGTCTTTAAATTGTAACCCTGCAGATGCATACATTCTATGTACAGCTAGTTAGAAGTACTTCTTGAAGTTAAGCAAACAACTTTATATTTTCAGAACCGCAAAAATGATGAAGCCTCGTATGAAAAAATGCTTAAGCTGCGTCGGGATCTCAGCCGGGCTGTGACCATCCTGGAGATGATAAAGAGAAGAGAGAAGAGCAAGCGGGAGCTGCTGCACCTGACACTGGAGATCATGGAAAAGAGGTGACGTCATGTTCGTGTGTAGGGACTGATGGAGAACAGCTCGTGCGTTTCCTGATTATTTGTGATTACAGGAGTAGCTTCTTTAAGTAACAGAGACTGTGATTAAACTTGGTGAAATTTTATTCACAATTCTGCCTTAATTTTCTCACAGTAATTTGGTTCACAGGTGTTTCTATTGAGAAATTCTTTTCTTTTGAGTCATTTCTGTGGTTGTGTGAGGCAGAGTTGTTCGTTTGGGGGGTTGTGGCTTTGTGGGGGATTTTTAAGTACTAGAGGTGAAACCCTAGGGGGACATTGTGCACTGTAGGCAAGCCTGTTGCAGTTAAGCACCAGATGTTCATAAATTTTAACACTCAGATGACCACTTGGTGAGGTAGAGAATAAAAGGGCCCTGCTTCTCAGTTCCTCTCCTCCCAGGGGGGAAAAATCACTTAAGTTTCTTGTGATTCATTTAGAAAAAATACTTTGTAGCACAGCCTGCCCTAATTAGCAGGGGTTCCTCGGCAGTGCTTGAGGCACCTCAGCCTTGGGATTCTTCCCCCAGTCACTTTGTGCACCAACATAAGGCTGCAGGGCTCTGGATTTCGCTCCACCACTAAAGTGCTCGCCTGGCAGGCACGGAACTCTCAGTGTGAGCCCCGGCACCACATGGTCCATGTATGGCTGCCATGGCCTGTAGGAGGTGGTGGACACAGGAGAGTCCAAAGTTCAAAGTCAGCACCTAGATGACATCTCACCACCTTCTGTAAATTGAGTTCTCAGGAACCCAGTGTCCTCTCTGGCCTCCATGGGGAAGGTACACACGCAGTGCACAGACAGGTATGTAGGCAAACCACCCATATGCATTCAAGGTCACCAGTGCATACACAACCAGCCTAGGATACGTGTCTCAGCAGAGTAGTTCATCCCACCTGAGGCAGGTACACAAGGTAACGGGGAGAGGAGGGGTGTCTTGGATTAGTTTGGTTTATAGATCATTTCATAGTGTTTATGGAAACGATCCATTATATGTACAGCTAAGTTTCTTCTCTGTCATTTCAGGTATAATTTAGGTGATTACAGTGGAGAGATCATGTCCGAGGTCATGGCACAGAGACAGCCGGTGAAGCCTACGTATGCCATCCCCATCATCCCTGTTGCTAACAGCAGTCAGTTCAAACACCAGGAAGTCGCGGACGGGAAGGAGTTCAAAGTTCATAAGGTGATTAGGACTTGGTAACAGGAGAAATAAGTCAGTTCTACAGTAAGGTGTGCTGTACACTGGAAGGAAAACTAGCTTCTCATGACAGTTTCATTCCTCCTTCTCTTACTCCTCACAGGATGAGGGAAGGCCTTGTTATAGGTCTGCTGACAAAGGGGGTTTGCTGTAGGGATATGAAGTGTCAGTGTGATTCACAGTGCGGAGACTTGGAGAGAGCACGAAGCCTCCTGTCGTCGTAATGTCTGTGACACATCTGTATATGAGAGGGAGAGAGTCTATCAAAGAATCTCAACATGGGGAGTGGTGATTCGACGTTTGTGAGGGATAAAATTGGTGAGGGAGAAATAAATTAATAAGGGGAAACCAGGGAAATAAAAGATGACTGTCACTGTGCCTTTTTGAAAATGTTCCTTAGCACACTTTCCCTTTAACCCCAGCATAGGGGTGGCGAGGGGCACAGAGGCAGGCGGGTCTGTGTGAGTTTGAGGCCAGGCCTACACAAAGAAACCCTGTCTTGGTGTTGGGTGGAGACATGCACACAGTGCTCTTGTAGGGGACCTGGGTTCAGTTCCCAGCACCTACATTGGATGACTTACAACTCTGTAATTCAGTTCCAGGAACCTAACTTTCTATGGCCTTCGAAGGCACCTGTACATACATAAACATACATTTTAAAAATATTGTAAGCATATCTTTGTTTTGAACAGAGAAAATGTAGATTATTAAAGAAAACTGAGTGGGAGAGACTGCCAGGGAGGAAAACCTGAGCCTTTTTTAATAGTGTAGCAGTTGGCTCCCCAGCTAATAATAACGAAATTATTAACTGAGGCTGCAGGTTGTAGAGTGTGGCTTCTGTGTGTAACCGATTCATGTCTGTGTTGCAGCAAGATAAGGCCGATCTTACTCGGCCGAAGCGCAAATATGAAAAGAAGCCCAAAGTCTCACCCCCGTCTGCCACCGCTCCTCAGCAGCCAAGCCCCGCTGCACTGCCAGTCTTCAGTGCTAAAGACTTAAACCAGTATGACTTCCCCAGCTCAGACGAAGAGCCTCTGTCCCAGGTAAACAAAGGAGCAGCTCCCTGCATTCAGAAGAGGAGTGTAGACGCCCACGTGTTTGACCTCTCATTGCTTTATTTCAAGGTTTTGTCTGGCTCTTCGGAAGCCGAGGAAGACAATGACCCTGATGGCCCTTTTGCTTTCCGCAGGAAAGCAGGCTGTCAGTACTATGCTGTAAGTGTCAGACTTTCTTTGTAAAGAACAAACAGCAGATAAACTGACAAAATAAAATAATTTGGATTTTTTTTTTTTAAGCCTCATTTAGACCAAACTGGCAATTGGCCCTGGACTAGCCCTAAAGATGGAGGACTGGGGGATGTTCGCTATAGATACTGCTTAACAACTCTCACCGTCCCCCAGAGGTGTCTTGGATTTGCACGAAGACGGGTTGGGCGCGGTGGAAGGTAACTCGCTTCTGCTTTCCTTGCATCACGTGCTTTAGACATTGAAATCAGAGTTTGAACTGAGGCCTCCTTGTTGAGCAGGCTGTGGCCGCTCCAGCTTGCTGTGCATGCTCCCCTCAGTTCTCCCGCCATCCTCACCTACTGCGCAGTTCTGATGGAGCCCATGTAGGTTCTTTTCTCTCCCAACTTCTTAACATCTAAACTCAGTTATCACAGGCTAAAATCCTAAGAAAGGACAAGTGTAAATTGTGTTTACACACTGAGGATTTGGTTCAGGAAACTACAAAAAAAAAAAAAAGTCGTTGAATTCTGGGGAAAAGTTGACATTCACAACTTGAGTGATTAACTCTTCTGTCCATGGCCTCGGTTGGTCAGGGTCTAAAGGAGAATACCTTCATGCATAGAGAGGAGGGAAGAAGGAACCGCAAAGCACAGGAAAATTTTAATCCAGCACTGAGATTTGAGGCTAAAAGAACCAGAGCCAACAAGATGGCTCAGTGGAAAGAGGCCCTTGCCACCAAGATGACAGCTGAGTTCTATGCCAGTACCTACATGGTGTAAGGAGAGAGCCGACTCCTGAAAATTATCCTCTGACCTCTGCATGTGTGCTATGCCACGTGCCCCGTGCCATGCACCCTCTGTGTAAAAGAGCTAAATACTTCAGTGATGAACAGTATGGCTTTTAAATATTCAGTATACTTTTATTCAGCTTTTGGGGCTTTCGGGAAAGGAAAAAACCTCTTGATGTAATCTCTGACGTCTGCTCCTTGTGCAGGGTCCTGCTGGACAGAGCGCATTCAGACTATGACAGTATGTTTCACCACCTGGATTTGGACATGCTTTCCTCACCACAACCTTCTCCGGTCAATCAGTTTGCCAATACCTCAAAAACCAATACCTCGGACAGATCTTCCTCTAAAGACCTCAGTCAGATACTAGTCGATATCAAATCATGTAGATGGCGGCACTTTAGGCCTCGGACACCATCCCTACATGACAGTGACACTGATGAACTCTGCAGTAGAAAATTACCCAGGAGTATAAATCGAGCAGGAACAGCACAGCCTGGGACCCACACTGGTACCTCCACGCAGAGTAAAAGCAGCAGTGGCTCCACACACTGTGGTACGTTCCTTTGTGGCTTCCATTGCTATGTCAGGGCCAGGTATTCCATCTTGTTGAGTGTGGCCCGTTATGCTGTAGATGCCTTAAGTAGCGCTTTGAATTCTGCTCAATGGCATTGTTGCTGTGTGAGTTTGTGTGTGTGTCCTTCCTGAACCACAATCACAAAGAGATGGTATGTTATAGTTAATGAACCACAAGACTCATAAATTTAATTTTCAAGTAATAAGAAAGTAAAAGGGACCCCAAGTTGTTGGTGGTGTGTATTTAAACACCTAATCTGCTCTAAATTTAGGGGCCAGTAGTCAATAGCTACACATAACTTGCTGACATAGTCATTCAGAATACATGCGAGAGATACTTAATTTTAATCCTTTGGGATGACTTTTAGATAATATTTCGGTACGATTTGAGTAAAATACTGAAAATACTACAATGTCCTTGGCTTTCTTTTTTAAATCATTTGAGTCCTCATTATCTAAATTATGTAAGTTTACTATCAAGATGATGGCTCAGCTGGTCCAGGTCCTCAGCATCACGCCTAACAACCTGAGTTCAGTTCCTAAGACCCACACAGTAGAAGGAAAGAACCCATTTGTTCAGGTTGTCTTTTGACTTGCATACATGTATGCATGTACACACACAAGTACATAAATACAGCAAAAGGGGGCTGGAGAGATGGCTCAGTGGTTACAAGCACTGACTGCTTCTTCCAGAAGACCTGGGTTCAATTCCTGGCACCTACATGACAGCTCATAATTGTCTATAATTCCTGTTCGTAAAAATGATCCAACAAGCAAGCCAATGTATATGAAATTAATATAAATAAATTATTTTAAAAATAAATACAATAAATGAGTAAATATTAATTGTTTATTTTGATTTTAAGATAGGGTCTCTGGATATCCTGGAATCCACTTTGTAGACCAGGCTGGCCTCGAACTCACAGAAATCTGCCTGGCCTTTTAAATTATGTTGTTAAAGCTCTTTTAGGCTAATTTTGATAAGATTTTTTTTTTAAAAAAAAAAAAAGAGGATTGCTTCCTTAATTACCTATTTAGGTTACAATTAAAGTGCTTTCTAAGCATGAGAATTTGCTGTCATTTTCAGAAGTCTTCAGAAAATACTTCATAAACTAATTTACTTGTTAGTTATTTAAAAAAAATAATTCTGTGAACTGACCAAACTTGAGAATCAGTTGGAAAATATATTTCTGAGGTTTAACTGATTGTAGTTTCACTAATTTTAGTGATTGTTTCTCTGTCCTTTATAGTCCTTAACATCAGGCTGCAGGGCTGTTTGACGTGGAGGCTTAATTAATAAGCGCAATAGGAGAGTTTAGAAATGTAAGCTTGTACTGACTGCCCAAAAAAATAGTTTAGAAGATGTATAAATTTTTTGGAACTTTATCGAGAAAATAGCCATCAATCCACATCATGTCCCTCCTAAAGTGCAGACACTGAAGCATGTAGCAGACTCCAGTCCCATTCTGACTGTTCTATGGAGGTAATTTACTGCACGGTGCTTATGTGGACATGGTGTCAGTTGCAAACTTTCCTGGTTTATTTCTCAAATATCATTAAAAGATGAACATCAGCTGTAGCAAAAGTTCACCAATCATGTAGTTTTGCATCTTAATCACTGTTTTTTTTTTTTTTTTGTCAATGGGGCTTCTTGAAATGCTGTATTTTCACATATACATAGAGAATAAACGCCAACAGACTACACTCTGTTTTCATGCTTGTGAATATCCATGAGATCTTGGCACTCTTTCTGTGGCTCCGTAAATTACGTCAGGTGTACATTCAACATAGTGAGTTCAGCTAGCAGCCCCCAAAACCGGAAAAGAAGACCTAGCTGTTGACGTGATCTGTGGGAGTTGGAGCGCATTTCTCCTTAAAGAAAGCGTTCTCCAGACAGGAATCTCATTTGATATTGGCCTGCAGAGTCCAAATATGGCCTCCTAGGCCAATCATCTCACTCCATTATACTTGCAGTTTGAAAAACAATTTTCCTTTGCACCATAACCCCCAGATGTAAACCACGTTTGGTACCAAAAGAAGCCTGATTTAGTCGATGCCGGAGGAAACACTGGCTATACTGAGAGACTGAGTCTCTTCTAGCCATCCTGTCAGATGGGAGTCGGTTAACATACTTTCCTGCTGCTTAGACTAAATGATGGTTTAAAATGGTATCACTTTTTTATTATTCAATTACTGATTCAAGTAATTGAAATTGATACTTACAGACAGCACCACCAGGCTCCTTTTCTAATCAGTTAGTTTTGAACTAGAAGCTCAGAATGGAGGCACCATGCGTCCACTCATTTCCTTGAAGAGTGCCCAGTTGTATAGTTTGTTCCTACTGCTTGGGATGCCAGTCTTGGCCGTTTCCCAGGCTGTGCAAGTACAGAGAAGGGCCTGAGTAGGACATGTGTGATGTTGGGTAGCCTCTGTGGCGGTGTCAGGGAATCCTGTGTCGTCCCCTTTGTTCCGTGTAACAGAAGGGGCATCGTGGAAAGACTGCTGGTTGGGATTTAGAATTTCTAGGACTAGCTGTACTTAAGGATCAATTATTTCTTCTTAATAATCATTAGTTAATATGTGATTTGGATTGTTTCCAAATAGCTTTCTAGGCTTTTTCATCTATACCAGCACTTTTCAAATTCAGTACACATTCATTTTGTGCATTTGAAATTGAAAGGATATCAAATTACCATAATTAGATGAGACTCTGTTACAGGGGCTATCAACATGGCTCAGTAGGTAAAGGCTGCTTGCTGCCAAGCCTTCCATCCTGAGTTCTATCCCCAGTACCCACGTGGTGGAAGAAGAGAATCAAGTCCTACAAGTTGTCCTTTGTCCTCCTGGTGCACTTGCATACTCTGTCTCTCTCATAGAGAGCAAGAGAGACACAAACACAGAGACAGACAAGAGGGAAGGAAGTGTCTGTGTGTGTAGATGTCTCCCACTCCAGTGATGCACCCTCAGATCCTAGCTTCAGTCGAATTCAGCATCATTGGAAGTGGTTTATCTAAACTCATGCCATCTGTAAAAATCTGCTTTATTTCTGTGACAGACATTCTGTGCATACAATTATTATGTTTGGCTTAATCTGTGTGTGGAAGGGACTGTAGTCTTTGCACTGATTGGTATTACATTTGTAAGTCTCTAGGACTCTAAGCTTTATTCAAAGACTTGCTAATCCAGAATCTGTTGTGGAAGGTGCACTGTGAGTTCAGCAGGTGTGTGTGTATGTTGCAAGGGCACAGTCACGGCAGAGCAGCACTGGGCTAGAGAAATGTCACATTGAAGTCATCCATAACCAGGTGTACTCAGGTCTAACACGGCTTGCCATCAATTGAATTACAACACACCTTGGTTTTCCATTTGGGTTTTTCGGTAGCTAAGAGCTTGGGAACCCTTTGATTTAATTTCCTTAATGCAAGGGTTCTACTAACTAGAATCACTCCACATTTTGCTTGGTTTGTTGTTGTTGTTGTTGCTGCTGTTTTATGCTTGTTTGTTTTTGTAGGGCTGGGGTCGAATCTGTCTCCTGCGCCAGGCATGTGCTCTGCCACTAAGCCATATCCCCAGCTTTTGTTTTAATCACCTTTTTTGTTAGGCCTGTTAGAATCAGAAGTTTCTGATTCAAAGGTGTGTTTTAAACAGATTTGTGGCCTTGTTTGTTTTTAATGAAGTATAAATGCCTTTAAATAATCCATACTCCATTTTGAAATGGTTCATTTCTTGCTGGTATCCCTTCACCCCTTTGAGCGCCTCAGTTAGATTGCCACAGCTACGGGGGGGGGGGGGGGGGGGGTGTGCCTGTGACCTTAGATCATTCCAAGCACTGGGTCACATTTCCATGTGGTGATTTCTGACATCTGCTTGGGTATTTCTAATGAGGGGAAGTAGAACAGATCAAGTTATTCTACATTGAAGGATCTTGCTTAGAAAGCTTATCCATATGTTGTGCCAAAAGCTGCCTCAAACAAGTTCAAACTCGTGTTTTCTTACGGGAGCATGCTAAGTGTCACACTGTCTCCACTGTCACACTGTCTTCCAAAAACCTGAAGTCACATCCCACGTCCTCCTCTGGCCCAGGTCTGCTTTTACTCCACACAATTACCTTCCCACATTACACTCTTGCTGGTCAGGTACCCTACATGTGAGGATTTTTTTTTTTTAACATGTTGCTCATACAGGTGAATTGTTAAGGTTTTTATTATATCTTGTAGATTCTAAATCCAAAGTTATTTTTCTCTGTTTTAAATTTGAAGTCTAGCTAACTTGTGGTGGTGGTGGTTCTTTCTCTATGCTTTGTGACTTCAGAACCTCAGTTTTCATCTCCAGTGTGAGGTTACAGGAGGAAGTCAGGTACCAAGGGCTTCTCCTGGTCGTAGCCCTTTTGTTTCTGCAGAGCAGTTGTGAGTCTAGATTTGCTTGGTTGGGTTTGCCCACCATTTGTAAATGAGTTAAATTTGATTGCTACACTTTATCTGAGGAAGATATATAACTGGAAACTTTTTGCCTTGGTGCCCCCATTCATTAGTAGAAACTTCAGAAAGTATGGCCACTTTGGCTTCATTCCATGGAGTGCTTGTTTAGACCTTGGATATAAAATCAGCTCACGTTTTAATTATCCACATTCGCTACCTTACCTTTGTACAAATTCACGTCCTTTGAGGGAGCTAAGATGACTTCGACAGGCCTCTCGCTTAATTCTTGTCACATTTAAATGAAGACGCAGACCCACAAAAGGTGGTGTGCTCTTTGAAGATTCTGTTTGTGATGGGCTTTTATCGCTCCACTGCCAGTCTGTTTGTTGCTCTGTTAATTACAGATCGTTTACCAGAAACATCCAGGCCAGATTTTACAACTAGACTCCAGACACAATAGCTTCATCAAGAAACAGCCATCTCGGGCTGGAAAGATGGCTCAGAGGTTAAGAGCATTGCCTGCTCTACCAAAGGTCCTGAGTTCAATTCCCAGCAACCACATGGTGGCTCACAACCATCTGTAATGGGGTCTGGTGCCCTCTTCTGGCCAGCAGGCATACACACAGACAGAATATTGTATACATAATAAATAAATAAATATTAAAAAAAAAAAGAAACAGCCATCTCAGATGTGGAGTTGACTGACTAAATCTTGTCTTTGCATCTGCATCGGCGGGAGACAGATGTTAAAATGAGATTGACTTGCCTACCTGCAGAAACTAGGTGAACTAGGGCAAAAGCATTTGTTAATTACCACTAAATTCTCAACTAAAACACAAATATCAAAGATACACAAAAGAATTTTACAGGAAAAGGGTGTTGTAATATGAACACTTCTGTTTGTTTTCACTCATATCGGAGGTCTTGAGTGAATGCTGAACTATGATTTTTCTAAGTATGTAATGACCTGATCCTTCTAGAAGTAGTTTTTAATTACTAAATATTCCCTATTGGAAAAGTAAAGGAAGTTAAAGTATAACTTTCAAACCCATTGGTTAAAAAAAAAATACCTAATAAATTAGGTATCTTAAGGTTTAAGCAGTTGTTTTCTATAAATAATCATGTTTACTATGAACCTGCATTTCAGGCAGCATTCATTTTTGTAGGTTTTTCATGGCTTTAACCCAGCTCACTTCTATTACCTGTTGATGTGTTCATGACTTAGGTCAGCATTTAGGGAACATCCTAACATAAGTAAGGCCTCCCATAGAATATTGGCTTGATCTGTAGCTTACACAAGGTGGACGCCAATTAAATGGAGCTGTAGCACACACAGAGGACCAGCAGGAGCGCTTCTCCAGTTCAGTTCAAGATGTGTGTAGGTGCTGATAGTTGTTTAATAGTTGTACAGGGCTTTCCTAAGCCCTTGGCTTCCAGGTCCATTCAAAGTGTGGTGGAAGTGTTAGCTGTCGTCTCCTGGTAGCGGGCAGAAACGCGGTCCTGGGGGTTAGTAAAGATCCCGCCGAAGTTACAGTGAAAATTAGAAAACTGGATGGGCTGGGAGGCCGACATCATAGCAAACTGGGTTAGTGTGTCTGCAGAGTCAAGCTCTGAAACTTTGGATAGGTAGTAGGTGCCCCGGTACCTGGGGATAAACTGGTTTTTGGTTTTCCTTAAAATAGCTCCTCCTCAGACAGGAAAGGCATCTTTAAGGAGCCCTGCAGTCAGGCTGTTCTGGGGTTGTGTGCTTTTCTTTTTTTTCTCCCCTCCCCCTTTTTTAAATTGACAAAAGGAAAAGAATAAAGAAACAGGTTTCCTTTTTAGAACTGCACACACTTTTGGGGGTAATAAATGAACATTTTTTTGTTTGTCTTTTTTAGAACTGAGCTCTCCATAGACACACATAAGTAGCATAACACAGTGTCTTTCCTCAGCCATCACTCTGTACAGTAATCAGCATAACTCCGTTCTTATTGACTGGATTTTGTCCAGGTGGGTTAACTGGGTGGGGAAAATTCATTAACTTAACGTTGGAACTCCTTTTCTTCCTGTTAAAAGATTCGTTCTCTCTCTCTCTCTCTCTCTCTCTCTCTCTCCCTTTCTCTCTCTCTTTAAGTCATAAGCTGTCCAATTTACCTTTTATTAAAGGAAACCTTTGTAATGACTAAGATAAGAAGCTATGTAGACAGCGCTCTTGGGACGGCCTGGGCGCCTTGGCGTGGCAGTCTGGATAAACCCCAAGTGGATGGTGGTCACCAGGTTTCACCTCATGCTCAGCACAGAGTGCATCTCCAAGCCTGTGGACTGACAGCGCAAGAGCACTTTCTACACTGTCTGGCACGAGTCTAGAAAAGCTAGTTTCCTGTGTGCGACTCGGGAAGCTTCGTTTTCTTTCTTTTTTTTCTTTAAATTGAAGCCACTTTTGTTAAATGTGATGGAAAAAGCTGGGGTTTTCATCTAGAAGTGATCTCTAGCAGGATCATGTCTATTCAGATGCTTCAATTTTGCACAAAACCGTCCTTTTCTGATGCTGGATTTTTAGTGTCGTAAGGTGTCTGTGGTGCCTGCATTTCTGTGAATCGTCTCGTTTTATGTTCAGCATTCACAGCCGAACAATACCAGCAGCACCAGCAGCAACTGGCACTGATGCAGCAGCAGCAGCTTGCACAAACTCAGCAGCAGCAAGCAAACAGCAACTCCGCCACCGCCACGCCACAGGTGAGGGCTTGTGTGTCGTATGACTGTCCTCACTGAGTGTTGTCCTAGAACCTTGCATCTAACCAGCAGAAAAGTGGCTTTGGCCTGAATGTACACAGGGTTTAGAAAGAACATTCCAGGCGAGTGTGGAAGCTGTTCCTTCTGCTGCCTATTAGAGCATAAGAGCACAGTTCCTCTAACTGGACATTTCTGCGGCCTGCCTGGAGTATGTACCGGCCCTGTCCACAGCCTAGAGCCCTGAGCAGCTCGCTCTGCAGTTTCAGAATTAAACCCAAACCTCTTCTACTCTTTAAAACCACTTTTAAACTTAAAGCATGGAAATCATGCATAGATAGATTTGGGACTAAAAGACTGAGAATTGAGTTTTCTAGGCATCTTAAAGGGAATTTCCCAAGAGGCTTCTTAATTTTTAAATTAAATTATATCATATCTTACTTTTTTACTAAGGGATGATTGTCTTACTATTTCAAGGTTGTCTTGGCTGGGCAGTGGTGGCACACGCCTTTAATCCCAGCACTCGGGAGGCAGAGGCAGGCTGATCTCTGTCAGTTCGAGGCCATCCTGGTCTACAAGAGCTAGTTCCGGGACAGGCCCCAAAGCTACAGAGAAACTGTGTCTCAAAAAACAAACAAACAAAAATGTCTTTGGTTATGTATAGGTTGTATATGAGCAGGGAGGGTGGGTAAGGGGAGAGCGGGAGGTAGAGAATAGGTGTAGAGGTTACATAGACGCGCTTACATATTTGCCTTATGTATTTGTCTAGCACTGAACTATTGGAGAGAAATATATTTCTAACCTCTCAGTTGGACTTTTTGCTGTTATTGCATTCTGTACTAAAGGGTTTATTTTGATAATTGCCTTATGTATTCTATATTGTCTTATAGGATGCTCAGACATACAAACCTTTAGACAGTGAGCTTTTCTGTCTACTAGAAGAGACTAAGGTTTCAGTGGCTATCCAGCTCTTAGTGCTGTGGAAGCTGATTTTGAGGCCAATACACTGATGACCTTTCTTTGGTGTTTTCCTTCCAGGGTTTTGTTTCTAAGACTTTGGATTCTGCTAGTGCACAATTTGCTGCTTCTGCTTTGATGACGTCAGAACAGCTGATGGGATTCAAGATGAAGGATGATGTGGTGCTTGGGATTGGGGTGAATGGCGTCCTTCCAGCCTCAGGTGAGGACAAAGGCTCTGCATGGCCCCGTGGGATTGACATGCATACATGCTTATACACATAGACACAGGCACCAAATGCAGGGTTGACATACTTTGTTTCTCTCCCCAGGAGTATACAAGGGCTTACACCTCAGCAGCACTACACCAACAGCGCTTGTACATCCGAGTCCGTCGACAGCAGGTTCAGCTTTGTTACAGCCTTCAAATATCACACAGACTTCAGGTTCCCACAGTGCACTGAGTCATCAAGTAACTGCTGCCAATTCTGCAACAGCTCAGGTTCTGTTTGGGAACAGCATCCGATTAACTGTACCTTCATCAGTCCCCACTGTAAACTCTATCGCCCCAATAAACGCACGACATATACCTAGGACTTTAAGTGCTGTTCCATCATCTGCCTTAAAGCTGGCTGCCGCGGCAAACTGTCAAGTGTCCAAGGTCCCTTCGTCATCTTCTGTAGATTCAGTTCCAAGGTGAGTAGTTATTCTAAGCTTAAAATGTTTGAGCAGTAAGGCCCCTAACTTCAGCCTTCTGGAATGGCTGAGTTTTTTCTTCTTTCCCTTCTGTGTATGGAAAATGTGTGCATATAAGTATCCCTTGTTTGTTAAATAAGTAGATGTTGTGATTCTGTGTTAGTTGACTTCAGCTCTAGTTGAGAATGAGCCAGTCCACTCAGTGAGCTAGTGAATGTTGCTTATGTGACTTGGGCTTCTCTCTCTCTCTCTCTCTCTCTCTCTCTCTCTCTCTTTCTCTCTCACTCTCTCTCTCTCTCTCTCTTTTTTCCCGTTTAACCATTTATTGTCTCTTATAGTTTGGGGTGCTAGACACAGATAACTTTGCTATAAGAATACTCAATATCTTTTGGAATAACTATTTTTTTGTCACTACAATTTTTTTATTGATATTGAGCTCTATATTTTTCTCTGCTCCCCTCCCCCAAGGACCCCATACTCCCAGTTTACTCAGGAGATCTTGTCTTTTTCTACTTTCTACTTCCCATGTAGATTAGATCTATGTAAATCTCTCTTAGTGTCCTCATTGTTGTCTAAATACTCTGGGATTGTGGTTTGTAGGCTGGCTTTCTTTGCTTTATGTTTAAAAATCACCTATGAGTCAGTACATGTGATAATTGTCATTCTGTGTCTGGGTTACCTCACTCAAAATAATGTTTTCTAGCTCCATTTTCCTGCAAAATTTAAGATGTGGTTATTTTTTTCTCCATTGTGTAAATGTACCACATTTTCCTTATCCTTTATTCAGTTGAGGGGCATTTAGGTTGTTTCCAGGTCCTGGCTATGACAAACAATGCTGCTATGAACATAATTGAGCACATGTCCTTGTGGCACAATTGAGCATCCTCTGGATATATACCCAGAAGTGGGATTGCTGGGTCTTTTTTTTTTTTTTTTTTTTAGTTTTTTCGAGACAGGGTTTCTCTAGCTTTTGGTTCTGGTCCTGGCACTAGCTCTTGTAGACCAGGCTGGCCTCGAACTCACAGAGATCCGCCTGCCTCTGCCTCCCGAGTGCTGGGATTAAAGGCGTGCGCCACCACCGCCCGGCCAGTGACCAATTTCTTGAGTTCTTTGTATATTTTGGAGGTCAGACCTCTGTCTGTGGGGTTAGTGAAGATCTTTTCCCATTCTGTAGGCTGTCATTTTGTCTTGTTGACTGTGTCCTTTGCTTTCCAGAAGCTTTTCAGTTTCAGGAGGTCTCATTTATTAATTGCCAGCACCACTTGTTAAATATGCTTTCTTTTTTCCATTTGATATTTTTTGCTTCTTTGTCAAAAATCAGGTGTTCAAAGCTGTGTGGATTGATATCCGGGTCTTCCCGGTTCCATTGGTCCTCCTGTCTGTTCCTATGCCAATACCAGGCTGTTTTTAGCTCTGTAGTATAGTTTGAAGTCAGGGATTGTGATGCCTCCAGAGGTTCTTTTATTGTTCAGGATTGTTTTGGCTATCCTGGGTTTTTTGCTCTTCCATATGAAGTTAAGTACCGTTCTTTTGAGGTCTTTAAAGAATTTTGCTGGGATTTTAATGGGCATTGCATTGAATCTGTAGATTGCTTTTGGTAAGATTGCCATTTTTACTATGTTAATTCTGCCTACCCAGGAACATGGGAGATATCTTTCCACTTTCTGGTGTCTTCTTCAATTTCTTTCTTCAAAGATTTAAAGTTCCTGTCATACAAGTCTTCCACTTGTTTGGTTAGAATTACTCCGAGATGTATTATGCTATTTGTGGCTGTTGTGAAGGGTGTTGATTCTCTGATTTCTTCCCCAGCCCTTTTATCATCTGTGTACAGGAGGGCTACTGACTTTTTTGAGTTAATCTTGTATCCTGATACATTGCTGAAAGTGTTTATGAGTTGTAGAAGTTCCTTGGTAGAATTTTTGGCATCAGCTATGTAAACTATCATATCGTCAGCAAACAGTGAGAGTTTGACTTCTTTTTTTTCCAATTTGTATCCCCTTGATCTCCTTTTTGTGTCTTTTGCTCTAACTAGGACCTCAAGTCTTTTTTTTTTAATAATAATTTATTTTTATTTTGTTTGCATTAGTGTTTTGCCTGCATGTATCTCTGTATCACGGTGATACAGATCTTGGAGTCATGGACAGTCATTAGCTGCCGTGTGGGTGCTCAGAACTAAACCCAGGTCCTCTGAAAGAGCAGTCAGTGCTCTTAACTACTGAGTCATCTCTCAAGCCCCTGGGCCCTCTCTTAATACAACAATAACTTTGAATGTTCCGCTCCTCTCCAGGCATTGGGTGGAAGGTGTTTTCTTTAGGATATTATTGTTGTTTATTTTGTCTGTAGCTTACTGTGTGATTAGGATTGGTAAACCTTCCTTCCCTAATCTTAATAGTTGAAATGATGTCAGTGCCTAGTAACATTTAATCAAGCCATTGTTTCTCTACTCACTTGCCTTCTTGAATTTCAGTAGATACCTTAGTGTTAGGCTCTATTACACTTTCAGTATCAACTGGAATACTATAATTAAATCCTGCTGCTGCAAGGTATTAGGAGAAAAAGAAACAAAGACCTGCATTTTTCAGATTAGAAGAAATAAGCCTACAATGAAAGTTGATATGGGGAAAGTGAAGGCCGTTCTAGATGTGAAAGCTTTGTGTGCCATCCAGCTTGTAAACAGTCACTGTCATTTCACAACCAGGGAATCCTAAGTATGCTCTGCAAAGCATCAGCTTCCACCTGGAGTACTGATCGATTGGATGAAGAGAAGGGGCATCTCCAGAAGCTAGAGTAATAGAATGTTGGGGAAATACAAGCGGTTAACAAGTACTTGGTTTTCCTAGGGACTCAGGAAGCTTAGTATAAAAGGGATGACAGGAGGTGGGCAGGCCACAGCGGCTGTGTTAGGCCAACATTGAGACTTCAGCTGAGAGGGGATGGGGACAGTTTTGCAGCAGCTTGTTGACAGCCTTTACTCTGCGCGCCCACAGGTCTCTGTCTGCTCGGCACCAGTGTCCCATTGGTCTGATCATGACTGATCAGTCGAGTATAGTCCCCCTCTTCCCCATCTCCAGCCATCGTGACTTTCATTGCTGTAGAATTGTACAAATACAGGAACATTTACAGTCTGTGGGACTTCACAGAGCTATATCTCTACTATTCCTAGAGTTCACTGTACTTTCCAGGGATCGTTAGAGCCTAGTGTTCTGATTCATAATCCTGTGTCTGTCTCCCTTAGTGTGGCTCATTAGGACCCAGATTCAAACTCCTGACCTGAAGTTTTAGTCGTATTGGTTTGTTCTATGTTAAATTACTGAGAAAAGCTTTGGGGTTGGAAGCGGGAGTTGGCACTATGGGTAAAGGTGCTTGCCATCAAGCCTGATAGCCTGTGTGTGACCCACAGTGTCCACACAGTGAAGAAGAGAACCAAACCTGCAAGTTCTCCTGACCTCCACACTGGCACGTGTGCGCACGCACATAGACACACAGTTTATATAAAGATTAAAAATGGTCCACAGCCTAGAAAGATGATTCAGTTGGTAAGTTGCTTGCCAGTACAAGCATGAGCAACTGAGTTCAGATCCCCCAGATCCCACATTTTTTTTTTTTATATGCATTGGTTTTAAGGGCATCGGATCCACTGGAACTGGAGTTACAAACAGTTGTGAGCTGCCATGTGGGTGCTTGGAATTGAACCCTGGTCTGCTGGAAGAGCAGCCAGTGCTCTTAACTACTGAGCCATCTCTCCAGCCCCCAGAGCCCACTAAAAAAAAAAAAAAAAAAACTACATGTAGTGTTGAGTGCCTACAACCCCTACACTGTAGGGGGTGTAGGGAGGATAGGGCTGGGAGATCCTAAAGCTCCTTGGCAGCCTAGCCAGCTCTGTGATCTGCAGGTTAGGTGAGAAACAGTATCTGAGAAAATAAGGTGAAGAGTAATAGGAAAGGTGCCGTCCTCTGTCTACCCCGGGTCTCCACATGCCCTCATACACAACAAAGAAGAATGAAGGCTTTGGGCCGCCAAGGTGGTTCTGTAGGTAAAGGGACTTGCCACCAAGCCTCACAAGCTGTTTGATCCCCAGAATCTACATAGTAGAAGAAAACTGACTCCCCAGAAGTTCAGCTGTGTATACTCATGAGCACACTTGTGCATGCACACATACACTAAATAAACAAACGTAAGAAGAGAAGTTGAGTGTGGAAGACAGCTGCAGCTGGAACTTGAGAGCTTGAGAAGTTTGGACAGTTAGTGTGCCGGGTCACTTGGACCCTTCTTCAGTCTGTCGGCAGTACAGTTGGCCGTGGAACTGACTGTTGACACCTGCTTTCTGCTTGCCTGTTTTTCATAGTTATAAAAATTCATACTCGTCTTTACCCCACTGTCCCATAAATAAAGTTTGTTCCCATCGTTAAAGATAAATAATGCTTTTTCTTTGTGGTCTCAGTTCGTCCATGAGAGTTAAGTAACTGGATTCTTATTCCAACAGGGAGAATCACGAGTCAGAAAAGCCAGCACTAAACAACATAGCAGACAACACAGTCGCCATGGAGGTGACGTAGCTTCCTGGGAACAGGACTGCAGCCTGGGGACATGGTCAGGTGCTATGCATCAGAGGCGTTGGGACGCAGGGGAGGATGGAATGCACATGCGTTTCCATGGCAGCTGTGGGGACTCGGCAGCACTGCGCATCTCTCATGCTTCAACTTTTCTTTTCTTACTGTTAATAGGAAAAAATCAACATCTGTAAATTAAGAATGCAGCAATTATCTGTATAGTACTGCATATTTGTAATACCCTTGTATATATGTTACTTGAATACAGAAATGTTCATTTGTGATGCTTTGCACTTGGGGGCGGGGGGTGGGGAACAAACTGCAACAAGAGTGTGAGCTGTGAGCTGGTGTCATCACATCATGTGCATGGTGCGGAACCTGCTGTCTATTTATTGTGCCGTGTTTACAGGTTTTGTACACTGTACCCTCATTGGTTCCTGTGCTGTAGTAAATGTGTTAGGTAGCTGTGGACTCCTTGGTATTTTGTAATGGTATAACATAACTTGGTTCCCTCTGGGTCCTTGAGTTTTTTGTGTATCATGTGAAAAAAAAAAATGGTGACATACATACAGAATTTTACAAAAAAAAAAAAAGCATCAGTTTTTTAAACGGGGAATGTACTGTTCAATGGGGATCTTCCGGTCTACACCATTAGGACGCGCAACAAGCTAAAAATGAAGTCTCTTGAACCTTCCTGTCCCCACCGCCTGCATGTGTGGGCGGCCCCTGGTACTTAAGCACTAATGTTATGTTGCTGCTCTGCAAACAGCCCAGTCGTCCCATTTCCTTCCACACCAAAAAGTGTTAAATCAAGTACGCAAACGGAGTCCTTACAACTGGAGTTTATGTTGTCTTGCCCTTTTTTTAGCACAAAAAGATGTACTTTTTTTATTGTGGAATCGTTTGAAGACTTCATTCTTTACTTGTTCTTACAGAAAGGGTATAGGGGAGAAGAATGCAGTAATTGCTGTCCGTGTATCGTCATTCCAGTTTGTAAAACAGCCAGCCAGCTTTTTTCCTTTTAAGATTCTCCAGAAGGCTGCGAGGCCAGAGCCACAAATATCGGGTGCCTTCCTTTGGAAATATTTGACCTCTCTTCTGTGAAGAGAACGGTACTTACCAGACTAGTGCTTTGTCAGTACCGAAGTCTGAATGCCCAGTCCAATGGCATACGTTATCCTTAAGGTTTTTAATCCCACCTGGAAAATTGTGATAGAATTCTCACAAAATAAACCCAGGGCATTACATGTTGACAAACTAACGTGCAGTGGTCTTTGGCTTTTATTTCCAACCCCAGAACTCTGTGTGACTTTCCGTTATTTCAGTAAAGGGGCTTGCTTAGAAAAGGGGGGAGGGGGACTTAAAGTTGGTGTTTTCAGTGGTATTTTGACATGACTGTTTGCCTACATCAGTGAAAGAAATCCCCGCCCTCGATTTATAATCTCATGGCGCTGAGAGAAACTGAGATCTAAAATGTGTCATACCTAATAGGAAGCAAAGAGGGAAAAGGCAGGGCCAGTGAGTGAGACTAGAAAGCCGAGGGTGCTCACCCTATCAGGCTGGGGCAGGAACAGCAGCAGTGTGTGGCACAGAAGGGGGCTGGAGATGGAGCTCTGCATGCAGGCGAAGACTCTGCCTCTCTTCTGTACAGAAGAGAACTCGGAGCAGAGGAGTTCTACTGCCTCACTGACCAGACTAGGTTTCTGGGGAGCTCCTGGTAGTGACCACGGTGGTTCGAGGGATAACCTGAAGTAGTTGGGTCTATTTCTGGTTTTAGAGGGACCTGTTAGAAGTTGCTTACTGGCCACATGCGGCACATGCCTGCAGAGGCAGGAGGCTTTCTGTGAGTTTGAATCTAACATGGTCTATAGAAAGAGATACTATCTCAAAGTAGAAAACACTTGCTTAATGAATCTGTTCAGTAAGGAACTTAAGAATGACTTCAAAGGTGCAGTAAGGACAGGAGTTTGGCTCCCAGAATTCAGGTACACACCAGGTAGTGACATATGCTTGTCATCCCAGGGTCACTGCTCAGCTGGACCAGCCTACTCTGGGAACTAGGCCATGGGGACTGAGAACATGAGCCCCATCTGAGGGAGCCCTCTGGCCTCCACATGGACATATAGACAAAACTTAAGTTCAAGATATTTTACCTGAGCAGATGACCGTGGTTTAAAGTAATTTAAGAGAAAGCAGGTCTGGGGAATCAGGAAAGTTTGAGATACTAAACATCCAACTCAAGATGAAAGCGTGATGTAGAAACAAGTGGGGCTGAGCTGGAGAATCTGTGGTTGCAGGTGGAGGCATCAGGGGCATGAGAGGACTGCAGCCATAGTGGCAAGGCAGTTTGGAGTTGATTTTACCTCAAAGGAGAAAGCAAAGGTTTGCCTTTCTATTCCGGTGTCTAGTCAGTATGACTGAAAACCATCTATAAACTGCCGGCATAAGTGTGCTGTGGAATAACCGAGGTCAGGATCAGTATTTCTCAAGTCACACTGCAGATATGATGAAGCCAAGGTCCTCAGAAGCCTGCCTGCTATGTCCACAGGCAAATTCGTAAGTGTTCTGGGGAACGAGGAAGTGAGTCCTGGCTCTTGGGCTGCTGCTTGACAGGTAGTGGTTGTGGTCCACACAGCATCTTCTGTGCATCACAACTGAGATTCGGGGAGCATACAAACTAATATGCACATTTTCTTAAAAGGAGGATGCCTTCAGAACAAGTTTGGGAGACCCTACACTGTTTCCCGCACTTCTGCCACCATGTTGTAAGAGCACAAAATAAATGACACGGCGGTAAAAGAGCAGCAGGGCCCTGGGGAGAGCAAGGAAAGGTCGCAGTGACCATGGGCCCGCCAGACCCCAAAGGCGGCAGTGTTAGTCTACAGCTGTTCGGTGGTTAGACAGATGCAGTTTCCCTGGTAACCATCCTTACCATGGTTACCAAGGTAACTGCAGAGGACACTTATCACTAAGCTTTGGTCCTATTGATGAACAAGATCCCCAGATACCTCACAGACACTGGCTTTTACCTAAGTAAAGTAATTTTGTTCTCTTTTAAACTCCAAATTATAAGGGTTTGAGGTTTTGTTGTTTGTGAGGTTTTTTTTTTGTTGTTGTTGTTGTTTTTTTTTTTTTTTTTTTTTTTTTTTAGTGAGGAGGGTTAATTAAAAAATAACAGCAACAGAGAACTAGACAAACCGCACATCAGGCCAGCAATTGCATAGTAACTGTGTCAGGTGTTCCTGTAGATGCTGAGACAAGAGTCAGCCCCAGCTCCCACACTGCCTACATCCTGGTAGGCTCTGTGACAGATTAGACAAGGCCAAGTAAAGTGCCATTATATTAACATTACTAAGTTGAAATCAGAATACTTTAACGCTATCACTTTCTTAAGTTTTTTTTTCAGGTAAATGCAATGCCCAATCTCTCTGTAATTATGGACTACATGGCTGAATAAAATAGGTGATAATTCCAGAATATTCTGAATAGGTACAAAAACTAAAAGTGGGGGATGGTCTACATCTGTAGTTCTATAAAAGAGTAGGACCTCTAGTATTGCAGAATTCTGGTGTTGCGAAGGCTGTCTTGCTTTTCTGGGTGCGGGCAGGTGTACACGTGGTGGGTTCTGTATGAGTGTGGGTACCTGTGGGCATGTGTAGTGGTATTTTGTTTGTTTTAACAAATAAAGCTTACCTGAAGATCAGAGTGCAGAGCTAAACCACTAGAGGCCAGGCAGTGGTAGCACACACCTTTAATCCTAATACTTAGGATTCCCGCACCTTTAATCCCAGCACTAGGGACGTGGAGACAGGAGTGATATGACTGGGTGGAGAGAGGAGACGTAGTCTGAGGACAGATCACCCCTTTGGTCTGAGCATAGGTAGAGGTAAAAGGGCTCTAGTGGCCAGCGGCTCTGCTTCTCTAATCTCTCAGCTTTACCCCCTAATATCTGACTCCGGGTTTTTATTAAAAATAATTAGAATTCATGCTACAGGTGTGGGTGGGGGAGTGGGCATGGTGTGCATATGTGTGGAGTGGATATGTAGCAATGTACATATGCACATGGAAGCCAGAGTTCAGTGTCCTCTCTAGTATTTAGTATTACTTCATTTGAGTGTGGGTGTGTGCGTGCCATAGCATGTGTGTAAAGAACAACTTGAAGACTGGGTCTCTCACTGAACCAAACACTCGCAGATTGGCTAGGCTGGTGAACTCCAGGATCTCGTCTCTGCCTCTCTGGCATTACAGTCTTAGGCCACCACATCCAGCTGTTACGTGTGTGCTGGGGTTTCGAACTCATGACCTCGTGCTTGCATGGAAGGCCTTTCCTGACAACCATCTAGCATGCTGACACCTTTATTCGACCCACAGTAACATGGCTACACATTTAATAGCTTCCAGCGCTCTCCAGCCAGGGAAAACTGAAGACAACACAAACAATTTTTGGTAACTTGATTGCACCATGTGTATGAGCTTTATGAGTGGCAGCATTGTGTCAGGATGTCAAAGGTTGGACATGCCTCGCAAAAATGTGTTTTCTCTCAGTTCTGGAAGAAGCCCTAAGTGCTGAATACATTTATTTCACTGTGTTTGAAATCAAGGTAACTGCAGTCCCACACCTCTGAAGTAGCTAAGCCTCATGTCTTGTCCAGCTGCTGGTGGCTAACTGGCATCCCTGTATTTTCTCATCGCCTTTTCTGGTCTCAAAGCTCCCAATGCCTAATCTCTCCTGTAAATAACCCCCACCCCCTCTGTACCCCAGCCCTGTATAGTGCTGCTAACTGGGCACTTAGAGAATGTTCTCAATAATCTTCATGTCATCTCAATCAATCAAGGCCCTTGGTCTACATGTTAGACCCTTCATCTGTGTGGTCCTAACATCCCACATACACATAGTGGCACCTTCACCTCAGTTCATGGGTCACATACATGAAATTTGACAGCCTTGCTAATGAATGTATGTTGGGTGAATATGCTGTTTGGCCATTCCTGTGATTTTCAAACTTAAAAACTTTCTAAAAGTAAAAGCCTTCTTAATTATAAGTTTGTATTTGTGTGTGCACGAGCATGAGTGCCCAAGTCAGGACAGCTCTCCCCGTGGGTGGGCAGACTTGGGTCATCACCCTTGGAAGCAGGCACATCTCACAGGCTCAACATGGCAAAACTTTTATTGAAAGAATCCATATCTAGAAGTCTGATATATAAAACAGAAGTCTGATATATAAAACAGAAAGGAGTAGCTGTTTTAGTTCATGTCAATGCTTCCCACCCATCATAAAATTGTATGTTAATAATACAAATGATCCAGTCAGTTAAGATTGCTTATTGCTCCTACAAGAGAACGTGGGCTCAGTTCCCAGTACCCATGTCCAGCGTCTCACAACCACTTCCAACTCCAGTTCCAGAGGCTCTGATTGGTACCTTCTTACCGACTTCAAGGGCACATGTGCACATACCTGCATCACACACACACACATTCACATAATTAATAGTTAAGAGCACCAGCTGCTCTTCTGGGGGACCTGACACCATCACACATACATACATGCAGTCAAGACACCATTTCACATAAAAATAATATTTTTTATAAAAGGGAAGACTGAGCTGGAAAGGTTTGCATCTCGGATATAAGTGGGACTAGAGAAGCCGCTTCCAGTAGATACTTCACACAGCATCCACTCACTTACCCTTGCCTTTGCCCTTCCACCGTGTGGAGGGTGCAGCCCTTCCTTATCAGGTGACACAGCCTGCTGACACTAATCTTAACTTGCCAGTCTCTAGAAATTTAAAAGCAATTTTCTATAAAATTTTCCCAGTCTCAGGTATTTTGTTATAGCGGCACTAACTGGACTAAAACAGCCATTTCCACGCTGGAATGGCAAATTGACAAGTCAATCAGCTGGCTAGTTTTTGTTGTTGTTTTTGTTTGTTTTGTTTTCGTTTTTCGAGACAGGGTTTCTCTGAGTAGCTTTGGAGCCTGTCCTGGAACTTGCCTTGCTGGGTCTCTCTAGTGCCGGGATTAAAGGTGTGCGCCACCATCACCCAGCTTGCTGGCTAGTTTTGTGTCAGCTTGACCCAAGCTAAAGCCAAGAAGTCTAGAGTAAAGGATGTGTTAATAGCAGACACAGATTACAAAGTAAAGAACATGGCTTGGGAACTAGGTCAGTTTATAACAGCAAAGATGGCTTCCACCGTGAGGACTGCCAGTTTGCTTTCTTTCGCCATGAGGAAACCATGACAAAAACAACTTGGGAAGGAAAGGGTTATTTCATCTTCCAGCTGACAGTCCATCATGAAGGACATCCGGGCAGGAGCCTGGAGGCCCAAAATAACACAGAAGGCATGAGAAACAGAGGCCCAAAGCTAAGTCTTTAAGTAGCTCTGTAAGGTAGATAAAGCTATAACCAGGCTGATCGGAATAAAAGGAACCACGATTAGGCCTTCTGGAGGACACAGTATTGAAGGCGAAGGCGGAAGTCACAAACAATCCCACACCAGTTTGGAATTATGATTAATAGAATGGTTATTTATTTAAAGGGGAAAAACTTACAGATCACCGTCCCAGACAACAGCCCTCTGTGCAATCAAGAAGGGAGTCTAGTCACCATTAGCAGAGCAGGAAGTAAGAGAGAGAGGAGAGGGAAGTGGCCGCTTTTTTAAAGGGAGAGAGACCACGCCCCAACGGGCTGGTATCTCAGCAGCTATTGGCTGAAGGAGCGGGAGGAGCTCCCGCAACACAGTATTAGAAATGTGACTGAAATAAAACAAGAAGAAAATACTAAAAATATACCCCAATAAATCTCACAGCTTAAACGAAACACGGCTTCCTTCAAACACTAATACAACTCTTTCCAGTTTTTTTGTTTTTAGTAACAAGAATTTTCTTTTAAATGCTAGGTGCAAGCTAGGGAGATAGCTCAGCGAGTAAAGTGCTTGGCACGTAAGTATGAGAGTCTGAGTTCAAATCCTCGGTCCCCGCATGAAGACAGATGTGGTAACCCAGCATCCTACTGTTCCTCTACAGTCAGGAGAATCCCAGGAAACTTGTGGACCATCCATCTTGGTGTGTGCAGCAGCCAGACATGACACTCTGCCTTTAGCAAGGCAGAAAATGCAGATAGACACCCAAGGTTGTCCACACGCGTGCAGCTGCATACACAACAAACCACAAAGGAAAGAAGGGTCAGCCAGGTTGTGCTGTGTGTGTTTGTGATCCCAGCACTTGGGAACAGGAGGCCAGAGGACCCTGAGTTCAAAGCCAGCCTGGACTACATAGCAAGATGCTGTACTAAACAAAATAAAACAAAATAATTACAAGAAAAGAAAAACTGAATGGGGCGGCGCATGCCCTTAATCCCAGCAGTCGGAGGCAGAGGCCTGTGGGCCTCTGAGGTGGAGGCCAGCCTGGGCTACAGAGTGAGTTCCAGGACAGCCAGGGCTTCATGATAGATGTCTCAAAAACCAAACAAACCAATTACAGAACAATGTGTCCATAAGTATCATAGCATCCATGTTCACATGGACACATACACACAAATACCAAAAGCTTTAACGATGTAACAGTATGCACAAACAAGCCTGATTACTAACCATGTGTCTAAGCACTTGGAACTTCCCGCCCAGCTCCCAGACCTTAAGGGAGGGAACTGATCCTGGAGATCATCTCAGTCACCAGTGGCCAATGGCTTAATTGTTCCTATCTACTTAGTAAACCTCCATAAAAACCACCCAATGGGGCTCTAGGTCGGTGAATGTAAGAATTGTTAGTAAAAGTTACATGAAAACCGTATATGTAAACAGCTAACTAGATCGATACATGTGTTGCATATGATGCATATATAACAAATCAGTTTACTAGCTATTTGCCGGTTGCTCATGGAAAGTGGGGCACAGAAACAGCTAACCAAAGGAAGTGCCGAAGGCAAAGGGTGGTGGGTGGTTGAGAGAGCCGCAGCAAGCTACTTCTTTAAAGTGAAGAACTGATGGAGAACGAATGAGCAGAAAGAGTTCGTGCCAAGCTGTCTGCTCCCTTCCAAAGAAGCCACCCACACACTGACGGTGTCTGCACACAGGCAAG